TTTGCTCATACAATTAATAGCACTTCAGTATCAATTGAGCAAATGAAACAGGTTTAGCTTACATATTAAGTACTGATCTGCTTCTTCTACTACTCTCTAAAGTCCCACAAAATTGTGCAAGAAGTTTCTAGAGTCATTCCACTCAAAAGACACTGGGACAGACGCCATTAAATCACGGGTACTGTGTTTTGTATAGTAAATTGATGTTGTCCTAAAACGCCCGTGCAAAATGCACTTTAATTCTGTACTCTGAACAAATCCAGGAAGGTCCCGCAAAACATGAAAATCACGATTCGTCACGAATCATCAGGATTCATTTCATCACCATTCATCACGATTGAACAAATTGGTGATGAATTTTAAAATCAATAATTCATCATAATTACAATATTTTTTCATTTGCGGGACCTTGCAGCGACAGAAGCAGGGAGGACCCGAGCTTGAGCTCACTACTACAACTCACTCACAAAGACAAGCAGAGATAGATAGAAGGAAGTGATAGATAGAAGCAATGAGCATACTATGAGGAGAAGGTTTTGTGGTGGTGGTGACGGTAGTATATGAGCAGGAACACCAGTACATGCATGCAGTGGCAGTAAGCCTGCAATCGTGTTTGGGCTTGCTGCAGCAACTGTTTTTAAAACTCCCTTGCATAAATTTTCTTGCTATTCCCCCATGAAAAAAGCATGAAATGATTTGATCATTGGTGACACTCACAAAGCCATCTAGTTTGTGCGGTACGAAACAAAAACTAGCTAACTAGTGGCAGCCGTGCCCAAAGCTGGAACCATATAAATATTGAGCCAGGCTAGGCTGAATCGGCAAAGCCTGCTACTCCCAGGCCGTGCATTGTAAAATGCTAGTGAATTGTTAAATTTTGGGCAGCTTTGTGAAACCATGTACTTTGTGTAAAGATGAGTGGAGTTTCCCAGCATTTTGTTTTGCTATCCAACCCTGCACTCTCCGCTGTTGTTCATTATCTTATCTATTTAAGATTCCCATTTCTACATTCTCATAATGCAATATTCAGCCTTGGTAGAGGATCCGTCAACTCCATACCCCTTGGATTCAGTTTGGTAGCACAGCCAGTGTACTGCTGCTGTCGAACAAACTTTGCTTTCATACAATATCCAGCATATTGCGCTTAGTATAAATCCTTCTCTTCGACCGTGTTCATGGAGTTGGAACATAGGCTGTGAGTACAATTGCGTCCACATGTTCCATTCATTCCAAAATATCTAATGCTTGGCCTTGTCATGCCACGTTAGACACAGCTAGTAATAACAGCTGTATCAAAGCAAGTAGGAGAGCTTCAAGCAAGATTATTATTCTTTACCAAGATCTTATCCAAACTACAAGCAGATAATGATACGCCAATACACTTTGGATTCGTCAGGTCATGAGGCTCCAAGCCCAAAACAAGGTTTTGGTGCTACCAGTAGGCCGCTAGCTATTTTAAACGGCTCCTCCTGTGCACAAATAGATTTGCCAACTCTTTCTTAGTAGTCTTTGTCTTGATACGGAATTTGTTTGTGTGCCACCCAGCCATCATTGAGATTTGGAACGAGATAGAGTTTCAACCTAGTTGTGATCCAAGCTTTTATTTCAATTGAGCTTTTCCAACTTCCTTTAAAGGAAAACTCAATGTTCTCAATATTGTCTTTGTGGAAATCCAAGCAAATCTTAGTATTGTAATAATCCTGCAATAGGCAAAACACATTGGTCTAATCATGGTTCAATATGCCACACACAATCAAGTTGTATACACTCACGTTATACTAATTAATGGTGCATTCAGGAAACTCAAGTTCCATGGTATACAAATCCCTTCTCTTTTCAGCTGTCAGTGCTTCCCCTTCAGTATCATCTATTAGATATATAGTGTTGGTACTTCTTGTTGTTGTTTCTCCTTTTTGTTCTTTTTAGATCTGACCTTTTTGATTTTGTTTTTAGATCTGGAGAATGCCTTTTTAGGCAGCATCTGAGGTTGGGAAGATATTTTTAGATGGTCAATGTTGGAACGACTACAGCTCTAAAATTTTAATATTCTCGAAATAGTATGCATCCATGGCATCCTGGTTGGTACTACCAAATCATGGCCATGGAAGCTTAGCTGCTTTGACAAAGCTCGTGGCATCAACCAGCCAACTTGAATGGCTTGATCTAACAATCTTGAGCAAGCAAATGGAACACCCATGTCCAGAATAATATCCACTAATTTGCTCAAAGTATTTACATTTGAGGATGGTCTAACTTCATGATTGAGAATAGAGCTGTGTTATCATCAGAAAATGCAAATGGTGCACCGTTTCTACAATTAGTTACCTTGCAATCCAGGGCTTTGTGAATTTTTCAAATCAGGTTATATTGTCGCTTACAAAAACATCAATTGGCAATAAGTTGGTTGTTGCTTTCATAACAATTTTCATTCACTACCCAAACACCCACACACCTGTCCGGCAATGAAGTTTGAAGTTCAGCTACCTGGTAGCTCGGGTGCATTTTTCCATAGCTCATAGATTCTAATGTTCAGTGTGTGTCGTGAACAGATGTTCCCTCACATACACCAAAGTCTTCCACACACTTTTATTGGCAATTGGTGTGGCAACCGGTGCTCGCTCTCAAATAATCCAGTCATATTACTATGGATTCGGGAACAAAAGGGTTCCTCTCAAGAATTCGAGGCTCCGCTCAAAAATTCAAGCTTCTTGTACAGATTTACGTAGACATCTCGCTCGATAATTCAACTTCGAAATGCGAACCCCTAGCCCTTCTTTTGTTCTTTGAAGTTCTATTCGGAAGCCTGTAGAAGTGTACCAGGATTCTACGGCTCGAATTTTTTAGAGAACCCCACCCCTTGAATTCCTCCTGAAAGGAGGCCTCAAATTCTTGGGAGGAGCCCTTTGTGATCAATTCTTCCCGAATCCGTAGTATGTACCATAAGTAAATAACTGAATCATTTACAAGCTTACTTGGCTACTCTAATTCTCCACCTAACTGCTTGTTGTCTCGGTGAGACTTTTGCAACACCCTCGTTATGCTAGAAGCTCTTTGGCTGCTAGAAGGTCATGTTGGATTGCACAGAATACATGTATGGAAGCTAAATGTGGAGGGAACCTAAGGGTGGGAGGAAGCATACCCCCTCAAAGGTATGTTCTTTAGCCAGTATGGGGCTCTTTGTTGGGTTATGGTGGAAGGCCTTGCATCCATCTGATGAGGGTGGAGGTTTCTTCGGAGATAGTGTTCATTGAATCATCGTGTTGTTGAATTCGAATGAACCTTTGACGTGCTGTAGTAACATTGACAAGCCATGCTTTCTTGAAAGAGAGTGGTTTTGACTAGAGAACTGCTAGATTGTATCGAAGATGATCGCGATCGCCAGGAAGAAGTTGGTGAGTACCTTTGTTGTACTCTACAATAATTTCTTGGTCCAGGATGTGTTGGGCTCGTTTGTGGCATGGACGGACGGTCTTGTGTTTGATGTCATTGCGATGGTTCCACATGGAATATCCCAAGTGATGCAATTGCACGAGTAGCCCACGCATCCATCGTCGGCTGGAGTATAGTATGTACAATAAGTATTTTACTATAGAAATATACAGTGCTTGTTTTAATTTTTTTTAACTTTGGCTGGACATAACAGTTACTCATGCGCAAACTAAAAATAGAATATCGATTTTAGGCTGCCAGCTAGTCACTTAACCTTGATCATCGTAATTTTCTTGTTGAGAAAGAAAGGCAGCAGCTACTACCACAGAACCACCAAGTCTAACTTTCGAGTATACCGAGCAGATCCCGGTGATCTCTAACTCTTTTTTTCTTTTTCTTTTTTTTTCTTCTGTTTTTTCGTTCGTTGGTTGGTTCTCTTTAAGGTTGGAGTTTTTCTCTAATGAACTTCAGCTCCTGCTTGGGCCCCCATTTTCCGAATTCCTCAAACTTTCTCATAACATAGCAATGGATCCCAACATTTCCTCACATTACACACCTCTAACTCCTAAAGTTATGCTTCCAAGACACTTTCTCAGGTGGAAAAATTTAATTACTCACAGTGCACACCTCTAAACTCCCTTTGCTCCCAAAACAATTTTTCAGACAGCAAATCTAATGATTTGTGAACGTTGCACACTTCTGAACTCCCTTATGCTCCTAAGACACTTTCTCAGATGGAAAAACTAATGACTCTATTTTCATCAATGTATCCCCCATCTGAGAATAGAATCTGGAATTCGTGTGCCCTCACAGTGTTACAATTTCAGCCAAACATCAACAATATTAAGTACTATGCCTGTTTATCTTTTAATTCCGAGGTATATCTATTATTACACCTCCGGTGTCCTTTATGCCCATGGGGTGGGTGTTGGGTGTCAACACGTCGTTGAAATAGCAGGAAAAAGATGTTTAACCTGTAGTGTCATCTTTACCAGCTAGTCAATCAGATTAAGATCTTCTTAGAGGGGGTGGGGAAGTTGCCTAGAGGGAATACTATATAACTTTGGTTTTAAGAATCAAAACAACATGAAAACAGCAACAAAACCTCCATCAACCTGCTGCTCGCAGCTTGCATTGCCAAAAGATATACATGTACAATAGCTTTGTTTTGTCTCAGTTATAATGTCATAATCTATCGTATACAGTACACTAAGCTCCATCCGATACCTTTTCCCACATGAAGTTCTTTAGAAAACAAGACATGACTCTCAATGCAATTGCCCTTGTTAAAAGGTCAGTCATTTATTTCTCTGTAATCCCACAAACTCAATCTCTTTTGGCCATCCTGTTGGTGCCCAGTTTATCGCCCCTGATACCATGTAACTTAGTCCTGAAATTTTACCTTTTCTTTTCCTACTGGCCATTTGCCATTGTAATGTAGCTAGCTAGCCAAAAGAGCTAGACCATGGGTGGTGGAGTGGTACCGGTACTGTAGGCCTCTCAGCAGCGGGCAACATTTCCCTCCACCCCAGAAGGGTCACATATAGCGGCTCTACTGACTTGAAAATCCATCCACTGTGGCAGCTCTCACTCGCATCATTGTCCAACGCGTAGACAGCTCCTGGCACTGGAAACAGAATGATTAGCAAACCACCCAGGGCGGCCATTAACGCTAAGAGATTTCTCTGTTCTACAACTTTTATGAGTACAACATGGCCCATGTTGCTGGTGTACTTTACACAACAACACTGGAGACATAACAAAAGGTTTCAACCTCGAACTCTCGCATTCGTCTGATTGTTCTGGTTGGGTGGCCTCGTGCCAAAGCGAATTTAGGATTCACCAAGGTCGCAGAGACCGACAGCAAGATCAACTGAAGGGATACCGCAAGCTTAAGAAGAGCGAGCAGTTATGAGCGGCTTCCCTTGATAATACTGTTCCCGACGGATCTTGCAAGCGCGAGGCATCGAGGGTAGGTCGAATGCAACTCCCACGCCTGTACGATGATGCATGTTGTTGGAGGGGTCAACTCAAGATGAAGCCGATCCTAGCCCAAGAAAGTGAACGTTCTGTCGTCGTCGTCTGCGTCTTGTACCTCAACATCATTCTGGTCCAAACCTTCAACCTGACCCGGTAAGAGTCCTCGTTCAAAGAAAAAGTCCACAAGCTGATCAGGGATTTCATCTAGCACTGCTTCCGTAAGCGCGTTGAAGCTTTTGTAGTCGTTGAATCTCACGAATTTGGTGATGTCTCGGCCTTCCTCCACCGCCGCATCGTGTTCGTCCAAGAAAGCCATTCCTTTGAAATCAGCCTCCCCAATTCCAACAATGACAACCGATAGTGGATCTGAGCTCGCCTCAATCAGCTGTTGTTTCGTTTCTTTCACATTTTCGATGTTGCCGGCAGTCAGGATGAGCAGTATTGTGTACGATAATTTGTTCTCCTCTTGGGATACCTCCTTTAGAGCCATATTCATTAAGTCAGGACGCATTGCTGTGAGACAGGATAACGCATAACGTCTCTTAGGTACCATAACCGTTGACTTACCTGCTCATGCCTAGCGTACGAAGCAGCAGTTTGTATGACTTCTGTGAACTTAGTCGGGTAACTCATCGTCAGAGGTGTTCGGAAGACCCCTCTGTATGCGTCCATGATTCCTTGCACTCCTTCTACTTCCACTTCGCTGCCACACTGGAAACAATGCCGTACAATGTTGTTGTATTTTGCACCAAATCCCCATACTGGAAATTTCTGGTCCGAATCGTACTTTGCCAATATAGACCCGACAGCAAATATAGCTTTTTCGTAGTCGTTCCATTCTTTGGACTCTGGTGGGTGGAAGTAATGTGGTGTACCTTCTTGTCTTGGATCTCCATTTGACGCTGTGAAGTCGATTGCAACCGCGAGACTGATCTGGCAACCACCTGACAGGTAATCTACGAATTCTGGTTTCGCTTGCTTTGGAGATTTTTCTGGCTCTGGAGGAGGTAGCGCACTAGCTGGGTCGGCTTCAGTAACTGCCACACTACCATTTTCTGCGTCTGCTTGGAAAAGCTCTGCGAACAGTACCAAAACATTCCCCATGTCTTTGTCGACTTTCATCACTGAGAATTCAAAGTTGTCGCCGGCCTCCTTTGCTTCTAGGAAGCCTCGCATCGTAGTCTCAAACTCTCCCATAGTCTTGTGCTTACCACCTCTCCTGTGATCCCACACCATAACTTTCATAGCTCTATCCAAATCGCCATTGCAAGTCGCCTCCAGATCCAAGGTGACTTGGTTCCATGTAGGATTCAAGCTACTTTTCACGACATTTGAACGATAAACGCTCATCCTGGATATGGGTTTGAGCCAGAAACAAGGGATTCGAATGCAACACAGTTTGGTATCATGGCACGTAACAATTGCGTAATCGCATCTGTAGCAAAACGATGAGACCATCCAACGAACTTGTTGAGCACTTACCATGTGGCTCCAGTGGGACGCTCCACTTTTCGATACAATTCGAAGAAGGGGCTACTTTTCTTGCCTATCGATTGTACGTTGTGAAGTTTCCTTCCTCTGAGCTGAAAGCGTAGTCTTCCTTTTTCTCCTTCCGCTGAACATCGTTCAATATGGACATAAACGGCGCCTCCTGTTTGCAGTGACTTGGACCGCATATTCCCTCGTCCACCTATCACTTCACCTACTTCAAACAAGGCGGTACCCATGATCTTGTGTGGAAATTTGCCATTGCGCAGAAGGTTCCGATTGGATGCGTCGCCCGTGATGGCCTGTTGCGAGTGTGCATCCATCTGGGCTAGTTGCCGCGCGGACTTTCCGGTTTGAGACACATCAAAGTCAAAGACTCCGACTTCTATGTAGTAGGGCACACCGAATTTGTATCCGTCCAGGAAGATACTCTTGGACCATGAAGGGTTGAGACTTGCAAAGACGCTGTTTGCGGGTTGTACATGTATGTTGTATATAGAGCACCGAATTCCAGAGGACGGTCCAAAGTGGATTGATGTGTTTGATTTCGAATCCAGACGATCCAAGTCGAGTCGAACCAGTAGAGAGAAACAGAGAGGAGTACGTAAGGATAAAAGGAACACCACAGAAAGGCTGCCCCAAGAGCACAGCGGTCCCTTGTATACTGGAGAGCCGCGAACGCCAACAACACTTACACATCAGTTTGTCCGAGCACATGAGGTGGATTGTTCGGACTGTCTCCTCTCACTGTTATAACCGCAAAGGGATTCGACACTCCAGATAGGAGGCCACCTAGATTCTTAAGGTTCTTGGCGCTCAGGTGGACCTGCAAGCGACTCGTCATGGTTGTCAAAGCAGGGAAGAATGCTTGTCCCTCAATTCAGGGCCCGTGTGGGTGATCGGATGAGGGTTTTGCTGTCAGCTCGAGAAGGCGGGAGAGTGGAGATCGAGTGTTGGGAAGGTCACAGCAAGACAAAGGAGGGCTTTAGCTTTAGCCCTAATGAAGTGTAGCCAATTTCAGCTCTGCTACTTTTAAAATCCATCATGACCGGGCGCCACAAATTGACACACCGTCCACCCATTTTCTATCAGATCTCACAAATTCGAAGCAGTTGCTGAAAGGAGAAATGTGTGGAATCATCGGTCTTTTGTTAGCGGACGAGAACCAGTTTGTGAGTTGACAATGGGAATTCGTGGGCCTTTCGGCAAAGCGCTCTCTTGATTTTGTGACGGCGACCTTGGGAGACGGTCGCTAACGTTTTTCCTGCTTTCTTTGTCATTCACAGGTCAATCAACTCCTCGTTGATGGACTGACTGTCTTGCAGCACCGCGGCCAAGATGCGGCTGGCATGGTGACCGCAGAGCGCCGACGGTTGCATCTTCGTAAAGATAATGGATTGGTTCGTGATGTGTTTCATACTCATCACATGATGGAACTCCGTGGAAATGTTGGCATTGGACATTGCCGATATCCAACGGCTGGATCAAGTTCCTGCGCTGAAGCCCAGCCCTTGTACACCAATTATCCTTACGGTATTTGCGTGGCTCACAATGGTAACATCACTAACACGCAGGAATTGACAGAATATCTGCAAGATACCGTGGGAAGACATGTCAATACAGAATCTGATTCCGAGTTGCTCCTGAATCTTTTTGCCGAGGCATTGACAAAACAAGAAAAGGGAATCTCTACGACCGACCAGATTTTCAAGGCCATTGCAGAAGTCATGGGAAAGTGCATTGGTGGCTACGCTGGTTTATACCTTATCAATGGAATTGGCTTGGTGTCCTTCCGTGATCCTCATGGAATTCGCCCTCTGGTCTTTGGCTGTCGAAAGACGGGTTCAAGTGCCAAAAACGGAAACACAGTTCCAGCTTCACCAGCTAGAATGGGATCAGACCCCCAAGTTGACTATGTTGTTGCTAGTGAGTCGGTTGCCATTGACACTCTTGGCTTTGACTTGGTTCGGTAAGTTCTCGTGATGCCCTTGTACCAGATTCGTTTCTCGAGTTTTTCCCGGGGTAGTCGAGTTTCCTTCATTCGCTCATCCAAGGCTTCATCTACTTGCGTCCCTTTGCAGAGATATCAAACCTGGCGAAGCGATCTTCTTGGACATGAACACGGGACAGTGCCACTCACGGGTGTGTCACCCAAATCCCACGTACACGCCGTGTATCTTCGAATACGTGTACTTTGCCAGACCTGATTCGATTATGGACAAAGTTAGCGTCTACGAATCTCGCCTCAAGATGGGAGAAAAGTTGGCCGAAAAGATTATAAGACTGTATCCTGATCATGGTATAGACGTTGTGGTGCCAATCCCTGATACCTCCCGAACATGTGCGCTTCAAGCCGCGTATCGCTTGAACCGTCCATTCCGGGAGGGGTTTATCAAAAATCGATACATCGCGAGAACGTTCATCATGCCTGGGCAAGAAACTCGAAAGAAAAGTGTACGATTAAAGCTGAATACCATCAAAAGCGAATTCGCAGGGAAAAATGTGCTTTTGGTGGATGATTCTATTGTTAGGGGAACAACAGGGCACGAGATTGTGCAAATGGCTCGTGATGCTGGAGCGAAGAAAGTTTTCTTCACCAGTGCTGCGCCTCCGATTCGATTCCCCAATATCTATGGCGTTGACATTCCGACCAGAGAAGAGCTTATTGCCTACAACCGAGATGAAGTGGAAATCGCTGCGAAACTGGGTTCAGATTGGGTGGTGTAAGTGCTTTCACTTCGGCGTGGCAGTTTGCATTTCTGTTCGAATGCTCACTTTTGCTTTCGCCTATAGGTACCAAGATCTAGCGGATCTCGAAGATTCTGTGAAGTGCCTGTTGCCACCTGGTCATTCATTAAAGGGTAAGTTGGTGACAGCTTTGTTTCACGCTGCTAGTTATGGCACAACGTGTCCTGATGCAATTGACCACTTAACTCTGTTAGACTTCGACACGAGCTGCTTCAGTGGTACCTATGTAACTGGACAAAAGATTGGAGATGAATACTTTGAGAAACTCTACAATAAGCGAAATGACAAAGCAAAACAGATGCGGGAAAGTCGGAGCAGTTCAGTTTTGAGTTCTGCGTCGTCTTTGTCGTTGACGCGAATGGCAATGCAAAGTAATGATGGTGCCGAAGCAATCTCAAACGACAAAAGGAGCGGCTATTCGTCTGATGACGGGTGTGAAAGCCTCACAAACAAGACAGGAAAGGCTCGGTAGAGGGACGGAGGGAGTTTCCATGGCGTCTCCCTATGCCTACAAGTTTTGCAGACGTTTACTAATTTGGATGCACATCCTGAAGCAACAGGTCCTACGTGGTACAGGAAGAGGCTTGCTTGAAGTACCGCGCCTCCACTACCTGATCTAGTTGTAACGATAATGCATGATTTTTTACATCACCATTCCACTTTGAAACGATGTTTCACTATGTACCAGTACTAGTACAGCTTAAAATACGAGAGGCGTTCATTACTCCTCTTGATGACGGGTGCGAATCCCTCACAAACAAAGACAGGCTTGGCTCGGTAGAGCGAGGGAGGGAGTGTCCATGGCGCCTCCCTACTAGTATGCCTTCAAGTCTTGTGGACTTTTATTTGGATGCGCATCCTGAAGCAATGGGTCCTACCGTATGTGGTGCAGCAAGAGGCTTGCTTGAAGTACCCCGCCTCCATTACTGATCTTCATTGTAGTTGTCTCCTATGCATGACTTTCTACATGACCATTCCAAACGATTGCTTTTGAACTATGTTCCATGGGTACAACATAAAAGAGAGGCGTTCGTTATGGCGAACTATGTAAGCTACCGTTCAGGATGCATCACTGAGACAACAAACAATCTACGCCTTGAGTTGAATTAAGTAATTAGATGAGCAAAGAAAAGGTCGCAGCTACCTATCATAAAACTAGAGAGTTCTCACGCTGCATTTGAGATCGTCAGGTTGGGTCAAGGTCAATGACCAACAGAGCAATCAACCAAAGCGGCTTGCCTGATGAGAATTTCCAGGTGGCAAACCATTAGGAGGTGGGCTTCCGATACCCATGAGGCTGATTGCTTCAATGTCGACATCCTGCGAAACACTGTTCTGGAAAAGGTCCACGTTAAGAGTGTTTAGCATTCCAGACACAACATCAACGTCGTTGAATTGTTCCTCTTCTCCATCATCGATCAATTCAAACAGCCGTCCGCGACGCGGTGGGGGTGCACGGCGTGCTTCGGCAGGAGTAAACACCTTCGAAATGTTGTTGTTGTTGGGAGCAGCACCGAAATCCATGAACGTAGAATGGTGTTGCGGGGTTGGAGAAATGGGCGGAAGACCTTCAAAGTAGGAAGGTTGCGCGGCTGTCGTAGGCGATTCTTGCATCCCATTGAAACCCATAGGGTTGACCAACTGCAGCCCGGAGGTGGAGCCCACATTTTCCGACATCGACTGCTTGATTTTGTTCATGGACCCTTCGGTGACTACAAAGCATGCTTTGGCGGGGTCATTCTGGAGCAGGGCCAATACCGTTCCGATGACGCTAACCTGGGCGACGCCACCAGCAAAGAAGTGGTGGTGCCCAGGGGACAACGTCTCCACTCGTTGTAGGAAATTCTTGCTGTCGTCGCCTAGACGGGGATCGAAGAGGTGGAGGTCTTTAGCGGAAGGAGAAGCAACGTGGTCGTGGAAGCAGTCAACACGAACAAAAACGAGGAAAGAAACAGGAACGCCTCTTGGCTCGCAGTCCTCGAGGATGTCAATCAACCGATGCATGTACCGTGACGCCACCATGTTGTCGAATGGTAACAAAACGGACACAGATCCGCCGTGTCGAAGGAGTAGTTCTTCGCTGCTTCCTTCATCCTTTCCAAAAGGCATGACACCGCCAAAAAGAGAGTCCACGTCTTCAAAGTTGCCCCAAAACACATTGCTCTCAAGAGCTGTCAGCGGGTCCGAGAAGAGCTCCGCCGCAACTGACGCCTCGTTGACAAGGGACAATTTGGTGGAAGGTGGCAGGCAGAAATTCAGCGCCGTGTCTGCCAAAAGCAACTCTTTCGTTTCGTAGCGTGTCTTTGCGAGGAACAAGCTAGCCAGAAAACGATTGGGTGGTCCAACGTAACGAGTGCGGAGTGTCGTGTATTCCTTTGCAGTCAAGTACACCTTTGACCGGTTAGCCCAGTCCACAACAACTCCAATTTCATTTCCGTTCCTGGCATCAGTTGCACTCATCATCAGAGTGCCATCAGTCCAATCACGAGGCACTTGGTTGTCCATCCGAATGCGAAACTGAACCACAGCCTTAGCTTGGCTCTGGCACAAGTTGGCCACTGAAGTTCCGGCTTCCCGAAGGACTTCCATGCTAACAATGTCGTTTCCACCGGAAGAACCCCGTACGCCCTTTCGGCCCTCAGCGATGAATTGCCGCTGGAAGAAGGTTGCAAGCTGATTGAAATCCACCCAGCTCGGAATGATGCAATCTATGTAGGAGCTCTGACCATGTGCAGCACGCACAATCCAACGGTAGAGGACTCGTCGGAGAGCGGATTCGTCCACAACGTTCAGCGCCATGCGGCACCTCTGCAACAACTCAGTGACTTTTTCTCGACGAAAGACCGCGACAGCAGGGTGTTCCACAGAAGTAACATTCAAATTCTTTTGAACCCTGGTGTCAACCTCTGAAAATGCGTCACGGATGACATCAGGAGGAGGAGCTTGCTCCTGCCTTGGTGCAGAGTTTGATGGTCCTCGCACCCCATTGTTTGCATTTGAGGCGTCTACGGGAAGAGTTGCATCAGTTGCCGTTTTCTGCTTCGATACAACGTCAGCAGGAGGCGTGGCACGGGGAGGAAGAGCAGAGGACGGTACCGGTGCTGCTGGAGGTGCAGATGGCTCCTTCGGCGATCCTCGAGTCACTGCCTTGCTAGTTGTCGCGTTTTGCTTGGTCGCTGCAACAGGATTCGGCTGCGGCGGCTGAACAGCAGGTTTAGGCGGTTGTGGCGCTTTAACAGGCTGTCCTTTCGTTTCCCAGCCACGATTGCTCGTAGGTTTTGCCACTCTCGCGGCTGCCACTGGTGGTGCAGCGACAACCTTGGGATCAGCGACAGGCGTGGAAGCTACAGGCACGGGCTTCTTGACAACAGCAGGATTTGGTTTGGTTTTCCAACCCTTGACGGCGGTGGGGGCAGCAGCAGAAGCGGCGGGCGGTGGTGCCGATTTCTTTTGGCGCTCTACTTTTTCACGTTGCTTCTGCTCAGCTTCTCGCTGCTTCTTCTCCTTTTGCTCCCGCTCTTTCCGCTTTGCGGCCGCAAGTTTCTCTCGTTCTGCAGCCTCTTTCTGCTCACGTTCTTTCTGTTCTTTGAGTTTTTGCTGTCGTTCTTTCCTTTCCAATTCTTCTTTTTCCATACGGATTCGCTCACGCTCCTGCTTTTCCTTTTCTTCTCTCTCGCGGCGCTCCTCTTCCTCCTTTAGCTTTTGTTGCCGTTCACGTTCCTTCTTTTTCTTCTTTTTCGCTCTCTTCGAATTCGCCTCAGCCTCTTCTTTCTTGGCCTTGGCATCCTCCTCTTCCAGTTCAAGAAGGAGCGCTTCCTCGGCTGCCCTTGCCTGTTCTTCCGCCGATGCCTTTGGCGTCGCCCCTTTCTTTTTCTTTTTCTTCTTGTTTCTTGGGGTGGCCGCTGTGGGGCTCCCGTTCTCGTCATGCTGCGCTGACTTAAAATCATCTGAATCTTCGTCAGTTTCGTCGTCGTCCGATCCCACCGCCAGTTTGCCCTCCCGTTGGTGTTGTTTCATACGAAGGTTGATTAGGAGCCTAGCGCGTTGAACCTTTTTCCTGTCCCTCGAGCAACGCGGTACGCTGGCTTTGTATTCGGTGACCATTTCCACGGCGGCGTCAATGAGATTCTGCTCTACAAGGATTGACAGGGCAGTGTCGCCTTTCTTCGTCGTAACAGTGTGGTCAGCTCCGTGACGCAGGAGAAGTTCTACAGTATCTGGCAACCCTTTTGTAGCTGCCTGCAGGAGGGCGCTCAGAGTAGGGTCGGCCTCTTCGGTGGGCGCCCCCTCTTCTAGTAGAAGCCGGACGACACTGTCGTGACCTTTATATGCGGCAATACTCAGAGGGGACCAGCCTGTGTCGGTACATTTGCATGGATCTGCCCCCGCTTTTAGGAGAGCCTCAACGGCTCCGGCTTGGCCGTGGTTAGCTGCCGTCAATAGTGGTGTTTCCCTCCATTTGTTTAGAGCATGGACATCGGCGCCACCGTCGATGAGCTGCTTCACGGCTGAGAGGTGACCTGGTTTGGAGCCTGCACAGGCCTTGTGAAGCGGCGTACTAGAATCTTCTGTAACACGACAGTTGACCGGAGCTCCTGCTCTCAACAAGAGCGAGACAATGTCGTCGTACCCCTGGAACAAACAAACAGAAAAGAATTAATGCGTGCACCATCGATTCTCTGCTCCCTGTTTGGCGAAACGGAAAGCTTACCTTGTGCGCCGCAAACGTCAAGGCGCTCCACCCTGCTTCACTGCAAAGACTAGGGTCGGCGCCATGTTTAAGCAAGGCTTCCACGGCGGCTTGGTGACCATTGTTGGCAGCAATGAGGAGCGGTGTTTCCCTCCATTTGTTGCATGCGTTTCCATCAGCCCCCTTTTCTAGAAGTAGGTTGAGGACTTCCATCGAGCGCCCATTATTTCCCGAAGAACAGGCCGTATGTAGCGGTGTGTACAAATCATCCTTAAATTTGCAGCTAACGGAAGCGCCCTGTGCCAAACATAGCTTGACGGCTTCAGCTCCGCCTTCCTCGACAGCACACTTTAGGTAAAGTTCCGCATCTTCAGCATCGATGCTTACAGAAGAAGACTTTACTGTCACGGATGCACGAACAGTTAGAGAGTCGTTGTGGACAAATCCTTCCTGTTGGATCCTGTCGGATGTAATGAATTGTGACCAGCCCCAGTCAATAGCTTTTGGGCATAATTTGAAAGTTTTGTCGGGGTTGCGTTTAGCGTAGCTCAAATTGACTCCACTGGGGTGCTCCAGTGTGAGAACATAGCTTACGGCTTTCTTCCAGCCGAACGGTAGATCGTCAGCGTCCGCCACCTACATTGGGTTTGGGACAGGATTTGATCAGCTTGGATTGTTGTACTCGGGGTAATTGGCACCAACACGGAGATGCCTAATTTTCCCTGTTTCTGTGAATTGAATTGTGTCCATCATTCTACTTACCTGTAAGAACAAACTCAAGTGATGATTGCTGGCCCTACCATTCCCATTCACATAGACAATTAACCTCCAGCGATTGCCGAATTCGTCAACAGTCGTTGCTGAGTATTCCGCTTTCTTGCAGCCAGATTCCCTCTTTTGTGAGTAATTGACGATCTTGTGAGTGAATTCGCAAGTCGATTGTGTCGTCTGCGGTTTCCAGGGAGTTGTCGTTGTGTCCGTCTCAGAGGCTTCATCCGGCGGACTCGAATGGTCTAAACCGTCCTCTGCATCCTCATCGTCGTCGTCCTCATCGTCGTCTTCGTCCTCATCATCATCGTCGTCATCGTCTATATCAGGATCTGAGTCGGCAACAACGGGAGAGCTCGCTTGGGACTGAGCTGTTGGCAAAGATTGCGTTTTGCATGATGAAGAGTCCTCAGCAGCAGAGGGTGGCGGCGGAGTGGAGGAAAGTCCATTTTCTAGCTCAGTTTGTTTCTTCTCCTCCCCCATTGTCATGTTTTCTTTCTCCAGTAGGCGATTTTCAGTGGGTGGCAAGTCAGGTCCTGACGTTCCCAGGCGTCCATGGAGATCATCGACACCGCCGTCCGCATGGACTGGATCCTGACTGCCGGAGTCTGGCTCATCGTCGTCCATGCTAGATGACATGGCAACATCATTGTTGTCGTTGCTATTCATAGAACGCCAGCTCATTGTTTCCTGGTGTTGCTGTTCTTGCTGCCACTCTAATACCTCTTCTCTCCCACTTGGGAAAACTCGTTGTAGACGCGAGTTAGCTGACAACGGTGGCTTCCGATCAGTCACTTCTTTCCTTGTGAACTCCAACAGGTCGGAAATATGCTGTCGGGTTGCCTAGCTGCCTAGCAATGACTCGTCACTAGTATATACAACAACAAGTGAAGAGATGATGCAGTTACGATTGGAGCTCTTGTCCTTGCAAGGCTACTGCTGGGCTCTCAGTGAATGGCTCCCCTCACTCCTTTCAGTCGAAACGCCACTTCGCCTCCAGCATCCACACACCACCGCACCAAAGCAAACTGCGGGACGCACATGTGCACACAACACAGTGGTCAAAAATACAGTAAGGAGAAGGTTTTAATTTCAAGCAATGTACATGTAATTAAGGCTCAGGCTACACATGTACGGTACCCGCTACCTTTCTGGCTAGCCGGAAAATTACATATGAGGCAAAATCACTCGGAGATTTAAGATGCAAAGGTTGAAGAGTGAGGCGTCTAGAACAAGTTTTGACATTAGATAACCGGCAATGACCTTTAAATCTCCTAAAAACATTCTATCTTTCGATGGATTACAACCGACAGCAAGCAGCAACACAAACAGAGGCACAATGATGTTCTATCGGTCGTCTTCAGTCTTCGACATCATCGGCCTCTTCGATTCCCTCAACCATAGCTTCCTCCGCCTCCTCAGCAAAGAGATCTCGATCATCGTCCTCTTGTTCTGCATCAGAGGTTGAATGACGATCGGAACCACAACCTTTCTTCTTGCCTTGTCGACAAGAGTGTTGTCACCATTTGCCACAATGATGAGACGCAGCACCTTATCCCACCTCTTATTAATGTTTCGAAATAATTGATAGGAGTCATACATCTCCCAGGCCTCTGATACCATCCTTGCCAAGGCGTTCGCGGATGTTTTTGTTCGCGTCCGGTGGAGCTTTTCGACATAGGCTTGGATTCCCATCCAGACTCCAAAATCAAGAAGATTTGTTTCAGGACTCCTGGGCACCTGATGCAATACGACAACATTATGGATGTCTTTGAGCCTCCGTTCATACTCCTCAATGCAGTCCTTGGTCCCATGTCCTCCCGCGTTGTCCATGACAAGGTAAATCGATTGCGAGTCTGGCACCCAATGATACGCCATTCTTATTTCCTCCTCGATACTCAACATGTTGTCTCTCATGAATTGAGAATCGCATGTCACGTCTTGTTCGAATTCGTCTCCTTTCCTCTGAACAAACTGCAGCAGAATTTGCTCCAATTCGAGGAACGTCCTAGCTGAGTTTCCTTTTGTGAAATGACCAAACTTGCCGAGCACTCCATCAGTTTCTTTGAGCTCATTCCATTTGACCTTGGTGCCGCCTTTAGGAAATTCTGCATATCTCAAGACCAATCGATCCCTTGTTGGCTGATCGATTTCCCAGTGAGCTTGGTTGAGGATTGCGTCGAGTAAATCCTTGGCTTTCATTTGTGGTAAGTGGAGGGCCCTCCAACCTTCCTGGATTTCCTTGTTGATCTGATAGTTGTCTACAATTTGCTTGTAGTACACACTCTTCTTCGAGGTTTGTGTGACACTCACTCGTTTCATCATTATCTTGCCATCGAAATCATGCTCTGGATGTGGGCAGGCCATGACTCCCATGAACATGACTTTGGTTGTGAAGCGTCGACTTGATACTCTTTTCGGCGGATAGACTTCTTCCGTGCTCAAGTCCTCGCCAGGTTGTTTTGGGAGGATCTTCCTCTTTCTTCTTTTTGACACCATGTAAAACCACTTCTCATCCAGAGGACAAAGTAAGGCGGACCAGAGTGTGGCTCCTGATAGTCACCCTCTTCAACTTCGCTGTCGCTGGCTGTTGTCGCTGTCCTCCTCCTCTGCGGCCCGAGCGGCTGCACTAGCTATGTAATGTGCCTCCAATTTGTGAAGCCGTTCTTGCGACCATTGAACTCTTGCTTGTTTCTTCTCTTCGGTGAGTATCGGTCTCGTGACAGTTGCATTGGATTTGCCGTGCCGCCTCTTGAACCACTTGGTGAGTTGGTATTTGCTGAGGCTCTCCAAGTGTTTTTCCTCATCAGCATCTGCTTGTGACAGCCGAACCATTGCTCTAACTGTATCAGCGAATGATGCGTCATCACCAACAGTCTCGGCACGCTGAGCTTCCCGGAAGAGCTTCAGCAGGAATCCGGGATATGCAGCATCGATGCTGTCAAGGTAGGTGTCACCTTGATTGCCTTCTTTAAACGTGAGAGTATCTTGAAGCAAGATCTCACCAGTCTTTAATGATTCAAGAAATGCCTGATTCCATTTTGGCAATGCAAATCCTTTCGGCGTCTTCTCGAAGCCGAGGTCATACGTAACGATTCTGCAGGCAGCATTGGCGAAGTCGTGCTTCTTGTTTGCCGAAAGCCCAGGAGTATCGTACCCCCATGCCCGTGCAACACACAATATCATCCATCAGGTTCGATCGTCTGGTCGCTTCCTTTGTGTCAGCTCCATAAATCCGTCACCAAACCGAGATGGCCTCTTGCCATCCACTCTCCGTGCGAAATCGAGGCCCTTTGCCAATGCACTACGCTAAAAGCTAGTGTAAAGATCTTTCGAGTGTTTTGAGTTTGAGAGAATGAAAGTTATAAGAGAGATTAGAAAGCTATGAAAACTAATCAACGAGAGAGATCATCATCAAGGGATCGTAGATCTGGCCTCCCGCGGGAGACTATAAAGTGTGATAGAGTAGGTTGCGGTAGTGATCCTACGTATCTCCACGATCCTAAAACGGAACGCGTGGCGTGGAAGGTTTGTCTAGCATGGATCTAGTAGCGTGGAAGTACTCCACGCTGGCTAAATATCTAGAGCGATGTTTCATCATCAACTATATGACTAGAGCGGTCATTGAGACCCTGTCTCAAATGACTATTCACGAGAGACTAGTCATGAGTCGAACTCAACCCATCTAGGATCGAGTCGCGAATAAGGCTAAGAGCCGTGTATTGCATTCGCCCCCCTGACAAGGGTCACAGAAGGCGCGGCAGCAGTCGGACAAGGAGAACATATGATTTAAAGTGCAGGGCACTCTCATGAGATTTGGATGTAGAACTGTGCTCGCACGATGGCAATCCTACAAGGGGATCAGGCCTTGTATGGGTGTATAATACCTTATGTTCCAATCTGTAGACTGTGCCGCCGTTGGCGTAGCATGTTGAGCCGTACAGTGCCATGTGTATTGACTCGGTCTATAGTGTAAGGACCTTTGTACTTTGGCTGACCGTACTTGCGGTGCTGATACTGTTGATCATCACGGTTCGTTGACTTGTATTGATGAGGGACCGCGTCGCGTTTTCCCTATCGTTGTTTGTTGGATTAGTCGTTGGCGACGTTCCTTAATGTACTTCCAGTTGGCTCGAACCGACGTGTGAATCGCGTCACGATTGAACACGAGCTGTGCGGGGGTTGCACGCAAGGTGGTATGAATCGTGGCATTCATTGCAAAGCGAACCGCCGTGAGGACTCCATCCCGGATCCATTCACAAGGTCGTCTTGGCACTTGATGTTTTGAACAGCGATTCAAGTTCGTATGGTTTGTTTGAGCACGCTCGTACCATTAGTTGCTTGAGGGTTACGCGTCAGGTATGAACTTGCGACGAAGTCCATATTCATCCCGGATGGTCTTTTTGACCTCTGCGCGGAACTCGCGTCCTCTATCATGATAACCTAGCAGGCCATGGATACGGTAGACCACGTTTGTTCTAGGACGATGGTACTTCGCTCTGCTGCTTGGAGCAGATCTCTGCATCTCGACCATCCGGTTACGGGTTCGATCATTGTCAAGCAATAAGTGTGCAGGAATTCTTTTTCTTAGGATCCCCTGACATTGTATGACCTATCATGTCAATACACAGTCTTTCACAAGGGATCTCCTCGCAAGTCTTTGGGGGCATCAATCCCAGCTACGCGTCTGTGGGTTTGTCATCTGGCAGTCTTGGCAACGCTGACATACGGCCTGCACATCTTGCGCAACGCCCTTTCCAGGTGTAGTATTGGCTGATTGGCTGAGGACCTTCTTCTCTTTT